TCCACGTCAAACCAAGGAAAAAACAACGAGATGGCCGACAAGCTCTTCAACGTCTCGGCCCTTCGCGCGACCGCGAGCGAGAAGAGCGCGAATAGCCAGCCGAACTCGCCGCAGCCGCTCGGGGGAAGCCACGCGACGCCCATCTCTTCGGTCGACGACCCAGCCCAGCAACTCGGCCGCAGCACCCCCCCCCATGACCCCCCTCGCGAACCGCGAGACATCGACTTTCCAGAGCGGCAATGGCAGACGACATAGACTTTTGAACGTTGTCTCGGTTGGTCGAGTTCATAATGAAGTTGCCCACGTACGGCGCGAGACATGGTTGACTGAGGTCAAGACTGCTAGACTCGTCGGCAAACCTGCAATCGGGGTCCATGCCGGCCGCCTCAACGATCCTCTCGTGGATCTTCTGATTGAACCACAGCGCCCAGGACCAGCCCATTGGAATAACAGCAAGTCTCGAGTAGACCTCGTCACACGCGGCCACGGTTCGACCCCCACTCCTCGCGCGGCCCACGCCTGCGGCCCCAGCCCGCACTGGCCGAGGAGTTAAAAGCTCCCGGAGAAGCCCTGGGAGGCCCGCGCGGTCAAAAGCATCGCTGAGATCCGCACCACCAACAGAAATCTCGTCGTCGGCGCCCAGCTCGACGGCCGCAACGCCGTCGCTGGCGCACAGAGAGACACACACCCCGCCTCGGAGAAGTGACAGTTTGAGCGTCTATAGTCTATGACATGCCTGAGCTCACCACTCTTTTCGGCCACGAAAAGAAGCCCCACTCACTCGCCACCCCCGCCGGCAAGATCGAGCACGGCACGGGCGGTCAAAGCCGCCATGAACACTTCACAAGCACGAGGGCGTCTGAGCCCGGGGTCGGAGCAGGGAGAAGCCCGGAGTCGGGCTCGCGACCGCTCCGGCGGGACGAAATTGAACCGGCAGAAGTCATGCACCATTTGGCCCCCGCCTCCGCCCCATAGCTCAGACAACGGAACAGCGCCGGCAGAGCCCGAGGGCAGCGAGTCGTCGGCAAGCGAATAGCGACCGAGCGAGGCACCCTCCTCATCGCACCAGCTCGCCACGCGAAGCTTCCTCAGAGCTCCCGCGGGAGCGATCCCCTCAGGACGAGGACCGAGGTCGCGCGCGGCGCATCGGGCGCGGCCCAACACGGCGGCCCGACCCGAAGAAACTACACTGAAAATCCGCCGCCGCCCGAGTCAGGGCAACCATCGCCCCGAGAAACGCGAGGGCGAGGCCGCGGCCGAGGCGCGCACAACATGCTAAGACCCCAGAGCGCGCGATCAAACTCTGGACCCCCGGCGCATGCACGACCTCTGCCGAGAGCCCCGAAAATCCCCTGCAGCCCGCGCGCGGCCCGCGCGGAAGAGATCTCCCCGAGGCAGCGCGAAGAGCTCACGCGGCACGCGCCGGCCATCGACAAGAGAGAGGGGCGGAGGGCGAGGACCGAGGTGGAAGTGCCTCGCTAGGGGAACGAAGAACGACAGAAACATAAAAACTTGGAGGTCCGCGCGGATTCCTCGGGCCCGCGCTGGACCCCCCGGCGGCGCCTCCGGCGCCACCACTGGCGCGCTCCGCGCGCCAGGGAGGGGGGTCCAGCGCCGAGAACTCCGCGCGGACCTCCGAGTTTTTATGTTCACGTCACTTTTTGTTCCCCTACTCGCGGAAATCAGATTCACAGGCTTCGCGCCCGGCGCCCGGAGCCGGGCTCGCGGCGGCGCGAAAGGGATGGCATTGCTCTGGCGCCCCCATGCCGGGCGCGCCGCACGGCGGCCAGGGCACCTCCACGCCCCCCCCACGCCGCGCCACGCAGAAGAGAGGGGCAGACTCAGGCTAGTCGCCCGTGGTCCTCCTTGTCTTCGGCGTCCTGCGCTCTCGCAGCCTCGCGCTCCCCCCTTGCCTTGCGAAGGCCCCCGGCAAGGGAGGCCTCGCGCTCGACTTCCCCCCTCGCGAAGTCCAAGAGGAGAGGGCACATCATGAGCGAGCCTCTGGCGCGAGAGGTGCCTGCGAAGGCCATCTGCTCAACCGAGCTCAGCTCCCCACCGCACCCCGTCGCCTCCTGCTCGCGGACGCGCTCTGGGTGGGCGAGCTCGATCGCCTGGGGACGAACTTGGGCGCCTGCGTCACGCTGCAATGCTCAGGCCCTCAGGCTCGACGACTCCAGCTTGCACGCGTTCCTGAAACGGCCTGGTCCTGGCAGGTTCGGTGAAGTCATCATTCTTGATGTGCGCGTCCCCCGACACCCCGTTGTCGAAGAAGGCCTGCCCGTGTCGGGCGTCACCTCCTCCACGGAGAAGGGGGCCCCGTCCGCCGGCAAATGGAGGTCCTTCGAGCCAGACGCCCGAGCCGAACGAGTATGCCCAGGAACGACGTCTCCGAAGCGGTAGCATCCGCCCGTCTCGGCAGCGCGCCACACGGTCGCGGCCCCTGGCCGAGCCACAGCTGGCGCGACGCCCTGCAGCGGCCCCTGCAGCCTCGGCGGCGCCGTGGCTGCTGGCGCGGGGGGCCCCCCCACGACGGCACCTCCGCCGGCGGCCGACCTGCGGGCAAGGCAAGGGCGGCACCCACGGCGCCTGGCGCACCAGCTGGCACCACCGCGCCGCCGCCTGGCCCCACTAGCTGCCCCTGCCCGTCGATCGGCAGGAGCCACACGCTAAGCCCGCAGCGGGCAGCGGCACAACCAGCAGCGCTCGCCCCTCCGCCTCGGCCTCGGCCTCGGCGGCCTGCCGAAAGGCTGTGTCGCACGCGGGCGTCGGCTCGCGCCCGAAGCGGTACACCTGGCGCCGCGCCACGCCAGCTGGCACCTCTCGATGGTCGGCACACCACCGCACGCCCACGACATCGGCCGACCCAGCGGACCCGTCCTCGGCGTACACGTGCGAGTCGGGGGTCCCCGCCGGCACTCGCCGTACACCCTCCGCTGGTGCCGGAGCGGCGGGCCGTCCACGCTGTGAAGGGCGCAGGTCCAGCTCATCCTCGCTCTCGTCTTTCCTGCTCTTCAGCACGGTCCACCCCTGCTGCACCACGCGTCTCGCGACACTCAGGCACACCACGAACCCGGCGCCGACCACGATCCCCAGCCAGAAGAGCAGCACGGCCCACAGCCCGAGCCCCGTCTCCGCGCAGGCCCGCAGGGTCTCGTCGCGCCGCGGGGGGCGCCTCCTCGCTCAAGCCCGCCCCGACGACGGGACGGCACGACGGACAGCTCGGACAGGCTGGCACCACGCAGTCCCCGCACACGAGCTACGGGCAAGGCGGGCACGCAGAGCTCGGACACGCAGGGATCGATGGACAGCGGGCCGCGTAGTTCACCAACCCTTGGGCGACGTACTCGGGGCCTCGCTCGAGCAGCCACCCCCACATCCACTGCGCGCGGGGAGGCGGTCCGAGCCTCTGAAGCTTGAGCCACCGCTCGAGCGGCCGAAATCAGTCGAGACGCACAGGTTTCACGTACAAGTAAATACCATCATCCGCATCATCATAAACATCATCATAATCAGCAACATCATCATCATCAGCATCATGAACAACATCAGCCACAGCATCGTCATCTTCAGCATCATCATCAGCATCATCATCCTCCTCCTCCTCCTCCTCCTCCTCCTCCTCATCATCATCATCATCATCATCATCATCATCATCATCATCATCAGCATCAGCATCATCATCAGAATCAACATCATCATCATCACCATCATCATCGTCATCATCATTATCATCATCATCATCATCCGCAGCATCAGCATTAACATCATAATCATCATCAATATCATCCTCGTCATCCTCATCATCATCATCATCATCATCATCATCATCATCATCATCATCATCCCCATCCTCATCATCATCAGCTGCAGCATCAGCATCAGCATCAGCATCCTCATCACTATCATACTCATCATAAACATCATCATCAGCCTCAGCATCGACATCATCATCACCATCATCAGCAGCATCATCAGCAGCAGCATCATCAGCATCATCAGCATCATCCTCATCACCACCACCAGAATCAGAAGCAGCATCCGTATCATCATCATCAGCATCAGCATCATTAGCAACGTCATCATCAACATCATCAGCATCATCATCATCATCATCATCATCATCATCATCATCATCATCATCATCGTACTCATCATCATCATCATCAACATTATTATCAGCATCATCATCAGCAGCCGCATCAGCATCATCCTCATCACCACCATCATCATCAGCAGCAGCATCATCATCTTCATCATCATCATCACCACCATCATCATTATCGTCATTCTCATCCTCATCCTCATCCTCATCCTCCTGCGGAGTGGGTACGTCACCACGTGCGCCGCACGCCTCTTTCGAGCGAAAATTGAACGGCATGCTGCCAACGCCAAACAAACAGCCTGGGATGCCTGCCCGTGCCGGTTGGCCCAGGCCTGGCGGGTAGTCGCTGGCCCTCGCAGCCGTGCTCCTCCGCCGTCTCCGCCTCGTCCTTCCCTTTCGAGCCTTTCGAGCGCGGCTCTGTGCCTACGCGCGGAGGCGCAGCCGTAGCTCGTCCTTCCCTCTCCCTCCCCCCCTCCCGACATCCCTCCCTCCCTCCCTCCTCCCCTCCCTCCCTCCCTGTTCCTTCTCCCCCTTCTTCGCCCCACCCCTGGCCCTCGCCAGAGAGCGGGGCCCGCCCGGGACGCCAGGCGAGCACCTCCTCCTCCTCCCCTCCTCCTCCTCCTCCTCCTCCTCCTCCTCCTCCTCCTCCTCCTCCTCCTCCTCCTCCTCCTCCTCCTCCTCCTCCTCTTCCTGCTCCTCCTCCTCCTCCTCCTCCTCCTCACCCTCCTCCGGCTGCTTTGGGCCCCCTCGGCGCTTGGCCAGGTCTGTGAACCCCCGCTCGCAGCCCGCCTCCTGATTGGGGGGAGAGCGCCGCTGACGGTCGGGAACTTCTGCGGAGCGTGTCGCGGCGGCAGCCCAGGGCGACACGCTGTGCGCTGCGAGCGGATCGAATGTCGCTCCGCTCGGCGGGGCGGGAGGATGGAAAGGCTCGGGACGCGCCTGGAGACCGGGCCGTGGATGGCGGGTCGCGCCAGAGCGGGGCGGGCCAGGGCCCAGCGGCGCGACACGCGCAGCCAAAGCTCCCGACCGCATAAAAAAACACAAGCAGGTACGCATCATTATGTTGAAGGCCCGCGCGGAGCTCGCGGGGCGGCGCTGGGCAGCGCCGACCGAGGGAAGCCAGCGCCGACCCGAGAAGCCCGCGCGGAGCTCCGAAGATCTGCACGCGTGCCAGCTTTCATGCCCCGCTTCGAGCCGCTCCTCGCGCGCCGGTGCCTGCAAGGCTGGGCCTGCGGAGCGGAGCAGGTCCAGGCCCCCCCCCCGTCAAGGACTGGCCATCGCTCAGACGTCCGTTCCCTGTGTTTTTGCTCGGTTTCGTGCGCGGCTTTTTCGCCAAATGATCAAGGATGCTCCTCGACGGTCCTCGCCGAAGGAAAAAATGCACACGTCCGAGCGATGCCAAGAGGAAGGAATGGAGACACCCAGCTGTGTCCTCACTCCTGGGCCGGTTCGCGCCCTCCTCCTCCTCCTCCTCCTCCTCCTCCTCCTCCTCCCTCCTCCTCCTCCTCCTCCTCCTCCTCCTCCTCCTCCTCCTCCTCCCTCCTCCTCCTCCCCCTCCTCCTCATGCGCCTCCTCCTCCTCCTCCTCCTCCTCCTCCTCCTCCTCCTCCTCCTCCTCCTCCTCCTCCTCCTCCTCCTCCTCCTCCTCCTCCTCCTCCTCCTCTTCCTCGAGCCCCTCACTCTCGAGGCCCTGGGCGCCCCTCCGGCCTCCCGCCCACGTCTTGGAGCGAGCCCTCACTCTCGAGGCGCCCCTGCGGCCTCCCGCCCACGCCCTGGAGCGAGGCGAGGCGTCGCCGCGGCGGGGGCCAGCTTGCCAGGAGTCTGCCCGGCCGCCCCTGACGCGCGGGGGCCCGCTCGGGCCCCTGGGGGGGAAAGGGAGTTTTTTGGAGGTCTGGGGGAGGAGGGAGGAGGACGAGGAAAAGGAGGGGAGAAGGAGGAGCATGGAGGAGGAGGAGGAGGAGGAGGAGCAGGAGGGGGAGGAGGACGACGAAGGAGGAGAGGGGGCGTCAGGCAAACGCCCGGAGTGAAAATCGAGTCTCAGGGAAGGGGCCGAGGAGCTCCGAGGGCGCGCGCCGTGAGGTGGCAGCGCGGCGTCGCGGGCCTGGTGCTCCTCCCAGGCCCTGCCAGGCAGGTGCAGCCGCCGGCCCCGGGCTCGGGATGGAGGGGCAACGACGGGGGGACGGGGGGCCAGCGGTCCATGGCCGATAGATCGGTGGTAGGCTCCCGACAGCAGATCCACGCGTTCCTGGGCGGGGTGGTCTGTCGGGCATCTGTCGGCGATGCATGGGCGACTGGGAGTCGATGCACCCCCCCGGAACCGATCCCCCCCTAACGCTGCCCCTGAGGGCTGGCCGGGCCAGGATCGGTGCATGAGGGCAGTTGGCGTCCTCCTGTCCTGGAGCTCCTCGCAGAGGGACCACACGGTGAAGGCATTGTACCCCATCAGCACCAGCCACGATGCGAGCATGAGCGTACCCGCCATCCGCATGAATCCGCAAGAGAATGCGCCCCCGACGTCCTCCAGAAAAACTGGTATCTTCGCGCAGGAGTTCTGGCAGAGCACGTAAGCATAGAGCACGGAGTCCATGGACACCGTGAGGATGAGCCAGTACAGGTAGACTCTGAGGTGGACCTCTATCTCGTAGAAGACGCCCGAGAAGCCTGACACAACGAAGGGCAGGCTCGCCAGCGCGAACCCGCAGTTGAAGGCCTGCGTCCCCATCGCCACGTCGCTGCCGAGCGTGGGCGCCTCGACGACCACGTTGAGCCAACACGTCGCCATGTAGAAGAGGCACGACAGCAGGTGGAGCGTCAGAGTGATCCTCTGAGCATCGCTTGACACAGCCCTGCCCCTCCTCCTCCTCCTCCTCCTCGCTCCTCCTCTCCTCCCTCCTCTCCTCCTCCTCCTCCGCCTGCTCCGCCTGCTCCTCCCCTCCCCTCCTCCTCCTCCTCCTCCTCCTCCTCCTCCTCCTCCTCCTCCTCCTCCTCCGCCTGCTCCTCCTCCTCCACCTCCTCCTCCTCCTCCTCCTCCTCCTCCTCCTCCTCCACTGGCGCGGCCCTGGCCCCACTGGCAGACGTACCGACCTGGGTGGGGGCTGCATGCCCGCCCCTCCGGGCTCCGCGGGACCTGCCCACACCTGGGATCCCCTCCAGCGGGCTCGACGGCCCTGTCGTTCTCGCGAGGACCCCACTCGGGAGGTGCCAGTCGAGAAGACCAGGTCGTCGGGAGCTCTGGGACTGCCTCCTCCCTCCCCATCCGCTGCTGGCCGTCTGCGCGAGGCTGCTTGGCCGCACGGGGATGGGCGGGGGCCACCACTGCTGGCGGGGCCAGTGGGGATGGGTGAGGGGCAACGAGAAGGGGGGGACCAGCTCGGGGGGGGAACATCGAGCTGGAATCGGCGACACATCGCTGATAGATCGACGACAAGCCCCCGATAGCGGAGCCGGACGCTCCTGGGAGGGGCAGGCTATCGGGCCCGTGTCGGCGATGAGTGGGCGAGTGGGGGTCGATGCATCACCCCCTGAGCCTATTTCCACCTTCTCGTTGCCCCTGAGTGGGGATGTTCGGTGGCAACTCATGGGAGCCTCCCATACCGTCTGGCTGGCTCTTGCGAACCAGCGCTGCTCGACGCTCATCGACGCCAATCGACGCTACACTGGATTCATTTCCATAGTGCTCAGTTCTAGAATTTTCACTTTCGTTCTGAAGTCCGGACGGGGCCGCACATGCAAGCACATGCCCATGCAAGCGATCGAAGGCTTGCACAGCACAGCAACACAGGCGCGCACATGCTGCAGAATTGGGGAAAAAAGCGATGCACGTCTGGAACCCCCAGACGTATAACCGTACAGAGACGCATATGCCATAGAGTCGGGGATGTCCTCCTCCTTCTCCTCCATTCCCTCTCATTATAAATCATTTCTCCCTGTCGCACCCCGAGGCCAGCTTTTAGAGCGGGCCAGGCGTTTCGCCTGAGACTGCCCCACCACTTATGACTCTGAAGCTTGAAGAGTGACAACAGTGGCGGGTGGTGGATGGCGGGTGGTTTTCAACATGTGGCTCTCGCCTAAGCGCCGCGCACATTCGTTTTAAAAATGTGCACGAGCTTCACGGATTGAGAGCGGGTGGTTTTCAAAATGTGGCTCTCCCCTCAGCGCCGCGCACATTCGTTTCAGAAATTTGCAAGAGCATCACGGATGGAGGGCGGGTGGTTTTCAAAGTGTGGCTCTCGCCTCAGCGCCGCGCACTTTCGTGTTAAAAAAATGCACGAGTTTCACGGATTGAGGGCGGGTGGTTTTCAAAATGTGGCTCTCGCCTTAGCGCCGCGCACATTCGTTTCAGAAATTTACAAGAGCATCACGCATGGAGGGCGGGTGGTTTTCAAAATGTGGCTCTCGCCTCAGCGCCGCGCACTTTCGTATTAAAAATTTGCACGAGCTTCACGGATTGAGGGCGGGTGGTTTTCAAAATGTAGCTCTCGCCTTAGCGCCGCGAACACTCGCTTTAAAAAATTGCAAAGACCTTCACATATTCTCATGATCAATGTGCTAGACATGGTGTTTCGGAAGGATTCAGGATTATGCGGGCGCAACAGTTATGTTGATTCGCTGTCGAAATCCAAAAAATGGCTGCCTGGTACGATTCTGGATCGTCAAGACGCAGCAGCCAGGTTGATACGTGGCGTTGAGATCCCGAGAGGAATGTTTTGGCACGCTTCAGGATCTTCAAACTGTTGTTCTCCAACGAGGCAGTTCCCTCAATGGAAATGAACCGTGGTAGAGGCCTATGCAGAGGGAGCTTGGAGGGAGGGTTACTTCCAACATCGTTGATGACTCTTGGGATTCCACTGGTCCTCCTCCTCCTCCTCCTCCCTCCTCCTCCTCCTCCTCCTCCTTCTCCTCCTCCTCCTCCTCCTCCTGCCTCTCCTCCTCCTCCTCCTCCTCCTCCTCCTCCTCCTCCTCCTCCTCTTCCTCCCTCCTCCTTCTACTCCTCACCCTCCTCCTCCGATTCATCCTCCTCCATCTCCTCTACTCCATTTACTCCTCTCCTCCTCCATCGACCCTCCAAATGACACCAGCACCTCCTCGTTCTTCTACTCCCCCTCCCGCTCCGTCTGAGAATGGAATTCCGACGACGAAGGGCAAGGCACGTAGGCGTCACCCGCGGGCGAAGAACCGCCCCCACCAGCAGCGGGCGAGTCAAGCGAGCAAATTCTCTCAGCAGGAAGCACTGGAGCCCCTCATGGCCCCAGGAAACGCTCCGAAGGCCACGAGGCATAGGAGGCACTTCTGAGGATTCCAAGCAGCTCCGAGGGCGTGTGCAGGAGTGTGCGTCGGCATGTGCGAGCGTGTGCGGACTCGCGCTCCAACGCATGTGCGTGCGTGTGCGGGCCCGCGCGGCCGTCCGCAGGGAGGTCGCACAAGCAAATGCGTGCATGTGCCGCTACCCGATCTGCGATGTTCGCACGCCTCCCGCGTGAACAGGCACGTGCGGCCATGTCCCGACAACGGATGCACCAAACACAGGGCACATGACCCTGCACATGCTCCGGCGCGCATGCACAGTAGGACATCCAGCCAAAAAGGCTCGCACATGCCGGGCACATGCTGTGCACATGCGTGCACATGCACGCACATGTCAGCGCAAAAGCAGCCGCATATGCACCCACCCAAGGGTATAGACATGAGCGTGGTGTACGTCGGCGCTTTCTCATCGATGACCACACACTCGCGCACGCGAATGCACTCGATAGGCGGAACTCTGAGGACATGATGGCAAGGCTCCCATGTTTTGCTACCGCAGGGATCGGTTATATGATGCGGATCCTCACGCCCATCTCGAGGGGGCAGCCGCAGCAGAACGAGCTCAGCGGCTGCACCATGCCGCCGCGCCGCGGGCAGGGCCGCCCCGCTCCCCGCCGCGGGGCGGTCACTTCGTTCTCGCGGGCGCGGGGCGGCCGGACGGGCGCGGCCGCGGGGCGGGCGCCATCGCCCCGACGCCGGAGCCCAGAGGGCTTGAGGAGGGGGAGACCCCTCCTCCTCCTCGTCCTCCTCCTCGTCCTCCTCCTCCTCCTCCTCCTCCTCCTCCCTCCTCCTCCTCCTCCTCCTCCTCCTCCTCCTCCTCCTCCTCCTCTCCTCTCCTCCTCCTCCCTCCTCCTCCTGCGATTGAGTGCGCGCCAGAGAAGGCTGCTGGCGTGCGGGGGAGGGGGGCCCCGGGCAAGGGTAACGCGTGGGCGGTGTGGGGGGGGGGGGGGGCACGTCGGGGCAGGGGTGCGCTGCGATCGCCAGTGGTACGCGTGCGAGCACCCCCATGTGGGGGGCCCCATGCGTACGATCGTTGCCGTTACCCGGGGGAGGGCGGGTTCGGCCTTGACTACCTACCAGACCACCCCAACCCAACCCGAAGACCCCAATTTCGGGTTGGGGGGGGTACGGGTTCCATATGTGTTTTTTCAATGTTCCCCGACACCCCCCAACTGGAAATGGAAGACAAATTGAGGCCTTCGGGTTGGGTTGGGGTGGTTTGGTGGGGGGTTCGGCCCCGGGTAACGGCCGTTACGTACGCGCCAGAGGATACATTATCCCGGCAAAGCAACCTAACAGCGATATGTAGAAGCATATCTGAAAGCATTCCCCTTAAGATTCAGATGAGAATCCAGTTGTAGAATTCTGCTGCTCTCGCAGTCGTAGTCGCATTCGCGATGACAGTCGCAGCGGCAACGGCAGTCGCAGTCACAGCCTCAGCCTCAGCCTGCCTCAGCCTCAGCCTCAGCCTGCCTCAGCCTCAGCCTGCCTCAGCCTCAGCCTCAGTCCAGCTTCAGCCTCGGCCTCAGCTCAGCCTGCTCAGCCCTCACCTGCATCACCTCAGCCTCAGCCTCAGCCTGCCTCAGCATCAGCCTGCTTCAGCCTCAGCCTCAGCCTGCCTCAGCCTCAGCCTCAGTCTGCTTCAGCCTCAGCCTCAGTCTGCCTTCAGCCTCGGCCTCAGCCTCAGCCTGCCTCAGCCTCACCTGCCTCGGCCGCAGCATCAGCCTGCCTCAGCATTCAAAATGTGGCCCAGGAATGGAGTTCTGGGAACTAGAAGAACACGAAGTGGCCTACAGTTGGCTCCGGGCATTCAAAATCATGCCCAGGAATGGAGTTCTGGGAACTTGAAGAGCACGAAGTGGCCTACAGTTGGCTCCGGGCATCCAAAATGTGGCCCGGGAATGGAGTTCTGGGAAATCGAAGAGCACGAAGTGGCCTACAGTTGGCTCCGGGCATCCAAAATGTGGCCCGGGAATGGAGTTCTGGGAACTCGAAGGGCACGAAGTGGCGTACAGTTGGCTCCGGGCACTCAAAATGTAGCCCGGGAATAGAATTCTGGGAGGTCGAAGAGCACGAAGTGTGTGACTGTTGACGAAAAACGAGCCCCGCTCTGTTCCCGGTTCTCCAGAAAGTGGCCCGGGAATGGAGTTCTGGGAGGTCGAAGAGCACGAAGTGTGTGACTGTTGGCAAAAAGCGAGCCCGGCTCTGTTCCCGGTTCTCCAGAAAGTGGCCCGGGAATGGAGTTCTGGGAGGTCGAAGAGCACGAAGTGTGTGACTGTTGGCGAAAAACGATTCCCGGTTCTCCTCCCCGGCACCCGCCCAGACCCCCCTGAGGAGTCATGATGCTCTCTTTTGACCCTACTAGAAACCTATCAGCAAACGCTGTTAGGTAATTATCCCGGCAAAGCAACCTAACAGCGATGTGTAGGAGCATATCTGGAAGCATTCCCCTTAAGATTCAGATGAGAATCCAGTTGTAGAATTCTGCTGTTCTCGCAGTCGTAGTCGCATTCGCGATGACAGTCGCAGTGGCAACGGCAGTCACAGTCCAGCCTCAGCCTCAGCCTCAGCCTCAGCCTCAGCCTGCCTCAGCCTGCCTCAGCCTCAGCCTCAGCCTCAGCCTCAGCCTCAGTCTGCCTTCAGCCTCGGCCTCAGCCTCAGCCTGCCTCAGCCTCAGCCTGCATCAGCCTCAGCCTCAGCCTCAGCCTGCCTCAGCATCAGCCTGCCTCAGCCTCAGCCTCAGCCTGCCTCAGCCTCAGCCTCAGCCTGCTTCAGCCTCAGCCTCAGTCTGCCTTCAGCCTCGGCCTCAGCCTCAGCCTCAGCCTCAGCCTCAGCCTGCCTCAGCCTCAGCATCAGCCTGCCTCAGCATTCAAAATGTGGCCCGGGAATGGAGTTCTGGGAACTCGAAGAACACGAAGTGGCCTACAGTTGGCTCCGGGCATTCAAAATCATGCCCAGGAATGGAGTTCTGGGAACTCGAAGACCACGAAGTGGCCTACAGTTGGCTCCGGGCATTCAAAATGTGGCCCGGGAATGGAGTTCTGGGAAGTCGAAGAGCACGAAGTGGCCTACAGTTGGCTCCGGGCATCCAAAATGTGGCCCGGGAATGGAGTTCTGGGAGGTCGAAGAGCACGAAGTGTATGACTGTTGGCTCCGGTTATTCAAAATGTGGCCCGGGAATGGAGTTCTGGGAGGTCGAAGAGCACGAAGTGTGTGACTGTTGGCTTAAAACGAACCCGGTTCTGTTCCCGGTTCTCCTCCCCGGCACCCGCCCAGACCCCCCTGAGGAGTCATGATGCTCTCTTTTGACCCTACTAGAAACCTATCAGCAAAAGCTGTTAGGTAAAAACCGGTCTCCAGGGGAAGCTGGCGCGTGGCATAGGCGCGTGTCAGAATTCTGTGCCAGACGAAGCCAGGACCGGGCCAAATCGGATCAGGGCAGATCGGGCATCTCTGAGATCCAGCGATTCTGGGGAATACATCGGACGCCGCGGCCGTTCCAGAGCGCTCTGGAGCGCTCTGAGAGAGTTCCGGAGCGCTCTGGAACGATTTATCCCGGTCCCAGCCCCGCCCGACCGCGCATCGGAGCGCTGCCATGCATTTCGGGAGTATACGACGGACTGGTCCAGCGCGCCCAGAATCAATCAGCAGGACTATTACTTCACAACAGCAGGGATCAAACTTCAGGCCAGCCGAGTCGGAGACGGAGCTGTTTTCCCGTCGAGAGGATATCCAAGCGTAGTGCGAGACGGAGTCTCGCAAGCAGCAACGTGCTCATTTATGAGGCCTGGCAATGGCGCTTCGTTCACGCTATGCCAGAGTACTTTGGTTAGCGTCACGACGCACGCCCTCAAGCATGCTTGTTCACCACATCGTGCAACTTGACAGCTTGTTTACAGTGCCAGTGCATATTTATCGACATACATGCACCTTCGTGAAATATTGTCCGACATCGGGCTACGCATGATCAGTGGCAATATGCAAAGATTCGCGTGCGTATGCACCTCTTGAGCTCCATAGCATTCACATTCTTCAGAATAAGCATTCACGCATCCGAAAGTACGCAGACGCAGAGGAGCCTCGCCCACACGCTTGCAACTGGACAAGTTCCCCCCCTGACACCAAGCCCACCGTTTTTCTCAATCTCGACGGTGACCCCCCCTGATCCATGCTGCAGGGCTGGTTGCAAAATATCGAACCCCCCGCCCCTAGACGTCCCCCCCTGGTGGTGGGCGGCACTGTGATGTCCATGGTGGTGGTGGTGGTGGTGGTGGTGGTGGTGGTGGTGGTGGTGGTGGTGGTGGTGGTGGTGGTGGTGGTGGTGGTGGTGGTGGTGGTGGGGTGGTGGTGGTGGTGGTGAGAAAAATAAGCGGGGGACGACGCGGGCGGGCGGCGAGGGAGCGCCCCGCGCGCGCCCCGAACAACAAAAAGTTGGCTCTCGCTCTGGGAGCGGGGGTCTTGGAGGGGTGGGCGCCGCGCTCGAGACCTCCCGCCAAAACTGTCCCCCGTTTCACCCCCCCCCCCCTTTCCCGTCCCAGCAGCCCCGAGGAGGCCGAGAGGAGCTCCCGCGAGGGTGGCCCGCGCCCGCAAGACTGCAGATCCTGAGCGCACATCCTGAGGGTACCAACACACCGAAGGGCGGGTGGTGTTCTGGGAGAGGGGCCCCATGTGCCTGCGGGATGGGGGGAGGAGATATTCCGTAGTGAAGGGTAGCCACCCCGATAGAAGCACCCACAGTCTTAGGCATACAGGACACCGACTGGGCTTGATCCGATGGCCTGGGGTCATAGCTGCACGTCGGGGTGTTCAACGAGGACACTGGAAACCCTGAAAGAGGGGAAGCTGGGGCAAGAGAAGCCGGCAGGCAAGGGAAGGGCGGGCCCTGGTGACCGCGACAGCACCTACATCCAAGCTTGGACAGCGCCTCAACAAAAGCCCAGCCCAGATGGCCAGAGATCGCAGGGCTCCTGCACCGAAGCAGCGGTCAGGAGCGGCTGCTGCTGCGGCTGCTGTGCAGCAGCGGCGGGGGGCGGCTGCTGCTGCTGCTGCTGCTGCTGCAGCTGCTGCTGCCACTGCTGCTGCTGCTGGTGCAGGAGGCCCCAGACGCCGCTGCCGGCGAGGGGGCTACGCCTCGACAGGGGGGGGGAGCCACTCCACTGCCCAGACATCCGACCTCGTGTTTTTTGTCAAACGCGGCTCCCCAGAGGTCTGGACCCCGTCCCGGGGGCCGCCTGTTCATCCTGGGCCGACTCTCGACGCCCCCGAAGCTCAGCAAGGGCCCCAACGGGCCGAAAACGACCAAGAACCTTGCGTCATGTTTTTGTTCGCGACGCGAGGATGTCGGGGTGCCCACCGCCACTGCTCCCCACGCGCACAGGGCCCAGCGACTCGACGCCGCCGACCGCCAAGCGTGCGGGCCAGCGACCGCGACGCTGTGGAACAGACGGCGCCGCGCGGGCGCGCGCGGGCCCGCCGCATCTCCCCGTCCATGGGGCAACCTGCCCAAGAAATCAGCCCACGCTCAAACCAAGCCAAGACAGGGGCAAAATCGGACAGGGACAGGTCGGAGATCTCTGAGATCCGGCGATTCCGGAGGATGCATCGGGCGCCGCGGCCGTTCCAGAGCGCTCTGGAAGGCTCCGAGAGAGTTCTGGAGCGCTCTGGAACGATTTATCCCAGTCCCAGCCCCGCTCGACCGCGCATCGGAGCGCTGCCG